TGCACGCCTTCCGGAACCTGGAGATCATCCGGGGCCGGACCAAGCAGCAGTGAGTGCGAGCCCGGCAGCCGCCGGGGGTGTTTTGAAATAAGACGCGCGGAAGTATGGCCGCGATGCTGTAGGGACTTGCTGCCCTCCACCCAGTCTCTCCTGGGCTGGCGTCTCGCGGGCAGTGCTGGTGTCAGAGTGAAGTCAGCATGGTCCCCGTGCCATTAACAAAGCGACACCTTATTCTGGGCTCGCCGGCTGCTCCGTGAACACCTTCTGTTTCCGCGTCTGATCCGGTCTTCATCCTGCCTTTTTTTGTTGTTAATCCTCACCCAGTCATACTTTTCCATTGATTTTTTTTTTAAGAGAGCAGAAGGGAGGGAAGGGGGAGAGAGAGAGAGGGAGAGAGAGGGAGGGAGAGAAAGAGATTAATGTGAGAGAGACACATCGATTGGTTACCTCTCACATGCGTCCCCACCCGGGCCAGGGATGGCACCTACAACCTCAGCATGCGCCCTTGACTGGGAATCGAACCCACGACCCTTCAGTGCATGGGGCCATGCTCTAACCACTGGGAACGCCAGCCAGGGCCCACCATGCATTTGGTTGCTATGTCTCCTTAGTCCCTGCACCTGTGTCTATCACAGTCCTCGTCTTTCCTTACCGGGTCACGGCCTGGGCGCGCTGGAGAACGACCGCGCAGGCTTTGTGTAGAAGGGCTGACGTGTCCTCGTGATGGGAGAGATCGTGGGATGTAAAGTGCAGCACAGGGAATGTAGTCGGTGGTGTGGGAACGGTGGGTGGTGCTAGGCTGGTGCTGCAAATACCGGGGGAGCACTGTTATAAAGTATGCGATTATGTAACCACGTGCTGGACACCTGAAACCAACACAAAGCAACACTGAATGTCAGCGGTCAGTGGAAGTAATAACAATGGAGAGCCTAGGACACCCCCTCCCCCCGGCCCCCCGGGAGGAGCCCGGCTTGTTCACCACGGATGGGAGACCAGAGGAAGGCTTGCAGTTCAGGACACTCGCGGGCCATGGGGTCAGGGCGTGCAGACCTCCTTTCTGTCGTTCCCCATCATCACAGACAACACCCCGAGCTCCTCTGTGGGGTCAGGTCTTCTGTGCTCTAGCCCCGCCCCCTCCCCAGGACCCTCTCCGGCCTCCCTGCCTCCACCTTTCTGCCCCTATAGCGGCCTGTAGCTCTCCGCACCTGCCACGCGCCTTCTTGCCTTCCTGCTTCTCCAGCCGCCCTGGGCTTCCCGCCCTCCCACCTGAGTCTCCTCACCGGCCCCCTGAGGGCTCTTCATCACCCTGATGGCCCAGCATAGTGCTGGGTGCGCCTGCTCCCGGGTCCGCCCCAACAGGCATCACCTCTTCCAGAAGGCCCCCTCCTGCGCAGCCTTCCCCAGGCGCACTCAGTGCCCCTGCCCTTGCCCCCACTACCACCAGACTCACGGTGCTGGGAAACACCATCTCCTATGATTGTATACCCACTAGAATAAAGGGGCGCCGTCCTGAGAGTAGGAAATGTACACACGGCCTACATAGAATGAGTCGCATGTTACCTCACGTGTTTGTTCAGCGGCTGCATGGCTGGGGAGATGGATGGGAAATGAACCTGTGGCTTTTGAAGTCTATTTGGCTGTTTGAGAGACTAGAACACCTCAGTGCCCAGGCCAAGTAAACAGGCAGCAAGTAAATAATGGCACTGAGACCTTTCTTCAGCCCCTGGCTCGCCCCTGGGATTGAAGAGACTCAGCGGCCAGGAAACTGGTTTTCCCTGGAGGGATTCACAAGGAAACACTTGGGGATTTTTTTTTTATTAATGTTTTTCATTGATGTCAGGGAGGAGGGGGAGGGAGAGAGAGAGAGGAACGCCCATGATGAGAGAGAATCACGGATCGGCTGCCTCCTGCACGCCCCCTCCTGGGGATGGAGCCCACAACCCCGGCGTGTGCCCTCGGCCAGGAATCGAACCGTGACCTCCTGGCTCACAGGCTGACGCTCAGCCACTGAGCCACGCCGGCCCGGCCACTTGCAGATTTCAAGTTGCAATACCTACCTTGCGCAGTGGGACCGGTGGTCATGGGGGAGGAAGGGGGCGTGAATCTAAAAGGGCCCAGGAAACCCAAATACGTCACTCACCGGCGCCGTGTTTTTGTGCGTCTCACGGGGCTGGTTTCCTTCTCTCCGACGCAGCGGCCGCTTCTCTCTCGCCGTCGTCGGGCTGGACATCACGTCTCTGGGGCTGCGCTCCCTCAAGGAGATCAGTGACGGGGACGTGATCATCTCGGCGAACCGCAACCTGTGCTACGCAGACACCATCGACTGGAGAAAGCTCTTCGGGACCACGAGTCAGAAAGCCAAGATCCAAGGCAACAAGGACAGCAGAGACTGCAGTGAGTGGCGCGCGGCCGGAGGGCGGGCCGCTGCTCCGCGCGTGATCACGTAGAACGTCCCCAGGGCCACCCCCAAGCACGCGAAGGCCTCTCCTGCCCCTGACGCAGCCACAGAGGGGCTCCATGTGCTCCCGATGGCGGCGCTGCCACCTGGCGCCTGGCAGGATCGCTCTGGCACAGCCTCCTTTCGTAGGAGACGTTGGCCTGGAGATTCGGGCTGTCAGTTGTTTGCCATGCACAGGAGTAAGCTTGGTGTCGATTAGATTACATTTTAGCTATCGGTCCCCCTGCTCATTTCAGTCTCCGATGGCTCTAGCTAACACACACGCATGCACACAAACGCGTGCGCCCGTGTGCACGCCGTGGAAGGAACCTTTCACCGTGGCGTCTCCTACCTGCGTCAGAGCCATCGCCAGCCTGTGAAGCCGGGCAGGTGGCGGCCCCTCTGCCGAGAGCCGGCCCCTGGAAGCAGACCTGCCTCCACACCCTGGCCCCAGTCCTTCCAGGCACCGAGGCCTTCGTCCACTTCCTCCCCATCTCTGGGCTCTGGCGTCCTCATCCACGCCATGGGGGCAGTAGCGATTGCCACAGCGTCCCGCTCCGGAGAGATTGAAGTGCAATCCTGAGTGTAGACCCTGAGTGCGGTGCCTCCCTAGCCCAAGGAAGCGAGCACAGCACACCTTCCCATGTCACCCTCGCTGTCACGTTAATCCGCAAACCCCACCAGGCCCAGGGTGGCGCCCTGGGCACCCCGAAGGGAAAAGGCACCTCGCAGTCGGCCTCTGGGGGGCTGTTCTGGGCCCCGGCGTGTCCATCAGCGGAAGACCCCGGCACCTCACTGGGGGCGCTGTCCCAGTCGTCCCTCAGTCACTCTTCCCCTGACTGCAGTGCCCACTGTCTCCCCAGAGGCCCAAGGCCAAGTCTGCAACCGGCTGTGCTCGCCGCCGGAGGGCTGCTGGGGCCCCGCGCCCGGGGACTGCGTGGCCTGCCAGAACGTCAGCCGCGAGCAGGAGTGCATGGAGCGGTGCAACCTGCTGGAGGGGTGAGCGCTGCGGCCGCGGGAGGGCGGCTGGACGGGGCCAGCACCATCCCCGTGCACCTGTCTCTCTGTTTCTTTTCCTTTGTTTTGTTGTTTGTTTGTTAGCAACTGTTCATCACCCACGGAAACGGACAAACCATTTTCCTGACTTAATCCAACCTAATAATTTATAGAGTCTCTTTTCCTGGACATACCTTCTATTTCCCTAAGCTGCACAAAGTTCCCAAGACAGACCGCTCATCAGCGGTTCATCTGGCCACGACCGCGGCCATGCGGCCTGTCCCTCGGTGCACCGTTCCCGGCGTGTCACACTATGTTAACGCAAATGCCATCCCCGGTTAATTTCTGTGTTCTCTTCAAGAAACAGTGAGCGGTGCAAATAGCTTTAAATAGGACCGTGGACAAAGGAGTAGACAGCCATTTAACGGTTGCTGAGTTTACTTGCCATCAATACCAGGTACAGCCTGTTGATGCTGTGGGAACCTTGACATTGATGCCAATCTTTGAATGAGAAAGTAAAATTGAAGAATAGAGCCCAGCAGGGGCAGTTTTCTAAATATATATAGTATTGATTTCAGAGAGGAAGGGAAAGGGAGAGAGGAAGAGAGAAACATCAATGAGGAGAGAGAATCATGGATCGGCTGCCTCCTGCACACCCCCTACTGGGGATCGAGCCCACAACCCGGGCCTGTGCCCTGACCGGGAAACAAACCATGACCTCCTGGTTCATAGGTCAACACTCACTTCTGAGCCATGCTGGTCGGGCGGCAGGGACAGTTTTTTAAAAATTTAAAGAAAAAGGGAAATTTTGTGAGAGGGAAGAGCTGCTGGAATTGGATAGCTGTAGGAAGTCTTCCTTCTTATTTCACTGTCGGGGCCGCAGCGTGGATCCAGAAATATTCCGGGGCAGGTTGACAAGGTCAGGTTCATTTCTGTAGGCGCCATGAGCTGATGGCCCTCCCCTAGCGGAGTGATCTGCATGCTAAAGAGTAGGAACTATCGGCGCTCTCCTTCATGCCACAGGTATTCCCTCTGCTCGTGTTTCAGTTTTCACTTCTCTTTAAAAAGACAAGGTCATTGCCCTGGCTGGTGTGGCTCAGTGGGTCGGGCACCGTCCCTCACACAGAAAGGCCACTGGTTCAGTTCCCGGTCAGGGCACCTGTCTGGGCTGTGGACTCGATCCCCAGTCCAGGGCGTGCAGGATGCAGCCGATTCATGTTTTGCTCTCACATCCATGTTTCTCTCTTTCTCTCTCCCTCTCCCTTCCTCTCCCTCTAAAAATCAATAAAAATATAAAATAAAAATTTTGAATCCTCACTTGAGGAGTGAGGGTATTTTTTCCATTGATTTTTAGAGTGAAGGGAGAAAGGAGGGGAAAGAGAGAAAAAAAAATCCATGTGACAGGCACCTGGATTGGTTGCCTCCCACATGTACCCAACTGGGCCGGGGATCAGAGGGGATCGGACCTGCAACCCAGGCACAGGCCTTGACCGGGAATCAAACCCGTGACCGCCTGGTGTACAGGCTGACGCTCTAACCACTGAGCCACGCCAGCCAGGGCTAAAATAAAAGTTTTTTAAGGCAAAGTAATGAAAGCAAGCATGTCGAGGTGCCAGGTCTTTCCTCCACAGCGCCCGGGGCCCAGCCGCACAGGTCCCTTTGCAAGACGGGCCCCCTCCACGGGCGTGGCAGCCCCGGGCAGAAGCACAGAGACCAGCGAAGGTGGCATCTGGTTTAACTGATGCCAAGTGCCTGAAAGGGGGACTCGCGGGCCACGTTT